TCAGTAGGAGGCACCTCGTTGCTAGGTGCTACATTGTTGTTTTCGCCATGATGGCCAGACTTAAAATTAACGTTGAAGTGAGCAGAGTGAGAGTTTGACATCCTTAGGTAGATGTGAAATTAAAATCTCAAAGAACAAGCGTAAAATATAGCGTGTTATGGAAATTTGTATCAAAGTACCACTATTATCCTTAGCCCCACGGTGGGCGCCAAACTGTTTACCCTTAAAAATGGATAACAATTGAATTTATATGCGGTTTTAAGGTTATGTGGATTAATTCAATACAAGTGATTAATGACGTTGGATGAGCAAATAAAAATTAAAATAAATAGCCAAACCAGTGATGATACTGAATCCGGGCTCGGTCAAAGGCTTAATAAAGAAGCTCGCCTTCGGTTCCGCACCAATGCTTATGAAGAAGTACGAGTAAAATCAAGAACTTAGAATGATGATCTTTAGGAGCAGATAAAACAAATATATATTGCCTTGATATGCGTGTTACAATGTCTCTTGTGAATAATCAGCTCCCCCTTTATATAGTAGGGGAGTTTTACCCTAAGTACAATTCTAAAAAAGGTAAAAATCTTTCTTTTTGCTAATCACTAGTCTACCGCCGATACGTGCCGAGATTCACGCAGTGATATCCTGTTGGACATGGATATCACGGCCATTTGTTAATCTTGTGAGATCGTTTGGTAATGCTTTCGTGGTCTCGATGGCTCTGAGGGCATGTATTTTGCTCGGATCTTGATGCGAGAGGCATCTGGCTTCGATTCTGATCCCTTGCAGTCACGTCCTTGCTTCGTTTGCCTCACCAGGAAATCGGTGTACCCATTAGCCTCGGTTTTACCCGTATACAAAGCTACAAGGTATTTGATGTATTTGCTCTCGTATAATTTAGATTTCTCTTGTTGGATACTAATCTTTTCATAAGCTCTATTCTTGAGTCCCAACTCGATTAGTATCTTTCCACTCATATGATTTATATTTCTCTTGTTTTTGCTTAATTTATTTTACGCTACTATAGAATAGTGAGATGAATCTTTGTTCTAGACATCTTTCATGTTCTTTTGATCATCACTTTTAAAATATGTAAAAATGTCTAGAGAGTTCTGCCAAAGTCATATGCAAGTATACACTATCACATTCTAACTTTAAGTAGCAACTCTCGCATGACATTTTTTAAAAATACTGAAAAATTAACGAAATCGTACAGCATATCAAAGAAAAACCGAGCTGATGGAGATATTTTGGTGAAATCTAATTTTGATTAAATAAAATAACTAAAAATTTAGTATGTTATAAATTAAAATAACACCGAACCATTTACACCCTATCATTTCTTTCTTGTAGTGGTCGTGGTCCTCCTCCCTTGCAGTAATTATGTGGTTGGCAGCGATTCTGAGTCGAGTATGTTAGACTTTAGTTCTGCCACGTCAATGTTGACAAGTTTAAACGTTGCGAACTGAACTATGATAGCAATCATTGACAAATATAGCCTTCTACTTCCTGCAAATCTTGAAAGAACAGAAGGAAGTTATAGGGGCATAATGGGGAAAGTAGAAGATACCAAAGTAATGATGTGTCCAAAAGACCAACTTCGAAGATGACATCGTCAAAGTTTCGACGTGTCAAATTTGTAGGGGCGATACCTTGTAAAGAATTCTGAGATATTTTTGGACATTTGTTGTGGTCGTGGCGTTGGCGTGGGAGTTTAATGTTTATTGGTGAATGTAGTCTTGAGGTTGATGCTCACTCACTGTCTTGTGTGGCTATTAGCAAAAAACATGGAGAGCAATGTTCTGTAGCTAACAAATAAAGGGAAACAAAAATAATTAAAATTGAGAAACAACAGGCCTGAGATTTAAGTATTGAGTGGAGCATCTACTATGTTATTTTTTTTTTTTTTTTGTTTTTTTGTTACATACATACTATATTCAATTCATTCCAACCAAAAGTTACACAAGATTTCATAACCTCATTTGTAACTTGGCCAGTAGTTAAGCACGGGATGATTTTCCTAGATATACTAAAAATTGTTGCATTACCACTTAGTTTCAATTAAAAGAAAAGTTTCAACTAAATCGGTCGTGAACGTAAGGAGGCTTCAACTAAATCAGCTTTTTTTATGAAGTGGCTCAAAAGAAATAGTTTTAATTTGAAGAAAATAAAAATGTTAGATTGCAAGGCCGCAATATAGTCTCTCTAATTGGTCCCGTAAATTTTTTATAGACATAGAATGCAAATATCCGACACGTTTACTGCCAAGAAAGTTAACTTATCTAAGAGGCTAAGGGCTAAAATGATTACTAATAGGGATAGGTAGGTGATTTAGGATCTTAAAATAAAAGTGGGTGATTATGAGATGATGAAGAATATAAAAATAGGGAAGGGTTGAGTCATGAGTGTTGAATTAGGAAAAGAAATAGGGAGAGGACCAAGTAGAATTACAATAAAATACATGTGACTTACACCATAATAAAAAATGGCCCGTGTTTTTAAGTTTTATCCAACCTAGCTCATATTATACAATTTTTATAAAGCACTATCTTTTAATAGTAATTAGTCATCTATAGATACCATTTGCTATATTACGGAATATAGATACCTTTTCTGTGGTTATAAGATGTATTTGATGTATTTAAGCTATTGTATTCATGAATACAGTAGCAAAAATAGGCGTGAATCAGGGAAGTCCAGCTAATCAGTTTTTGTATTCGACTGTATTCATGGAGTGAAACATGCGATTACAGCTGGACAGATTATTGTATTCGACTGTATTCACGACGTGGAATAGGGGATTACACTATTTTTAAAACGGAAAGTGAATCAATTAACATAATAGACTCCTAATATAACTCAACAAACTCAATTATAACACACGAATTTTGTATTTTTCAGTTATAAAAAAGATTCTCAACCGCAAAATTCCCCAAATTAAAAACATAGCAATCTTCAGAGAAATTATATAATACATCTGAATACATAAATTATATTAATTAAAAAAATATATGAATACATTCATGGCATATAGCGAGATAATGAATACAATGAAATAGATAGAATACAGAGGGATACATTGAAATACAATGAGAAAAAAGGACAATGAATACAATGAAATACATAGAATACAACGAGATACATTGAATTACAATGAAAAAAAAGATAGTGAATACAATGAAATACATAGAAATACAGCGAGATACATTAAAATGCTCTACACAAAAGAGCAAAATCATAACAAACCTTATTGAACATTGTAGCTAATTGTCAATACATTATTGACCCAAAAATTTCAGAAAGCATCAGAAGAATTAGCCAATCTAGTATATCCGGGCTCTGTTTGCCAAAGCTATGTCAACGTTAATTGTTAAAACATTATATTGACCCTATTTTTTCACAAAAAAAAAAAATTAAAAAAAATCATAAGAATTAGCCTATGTAGTATGCCCATGTTCCGGGGCCAACAGTGAGAAGATATCGAACTGGTACTCATCTTGCATCAATAAATCAAATTCAAAATCAACATCAGCAGGATTATTTTTGTTCCCAAATAGCCCATTGGAGCAAGGCTGTTCAATTGGACCAAGTTCAAGTTGTTGCAGTCGTCGGATGCGGGAGCCGAAGCAATTTCTGAAGTGGGCTTTGCTCAAATCCGGTGGAAGGAGGAGGATGTCGGAAATTTTAATGGGATGGGGGAAGAGAATGTGATGTATCAAAGTAGAGAGAGAAAGAAAATAGTGTAACTGGTTAGCGTATTTAGTGGCTTAGGGCTAGGAGGTAACCAAAATTAAATATTTTGCTCTAAACCTTAAAAGGTATCTATAGAATATAATTTTTTTAAATGGTATTTATTTAAAATAAATAAGGTGTTAACCTTTGCTATAGGAGGTAAAAATTCCTATTTTGAAAGCACTTGCAAATTTAAAAGTTATGTTCTTACAACCATTGCTTCTAAAAGCTACGGAGTTAAATCTGTATTCTCATAACCATTGATTTCACTCTCTCTTCTTCTCACATCTTCTACATGTGCTTCAAGGGGCCATGTATTTTTTGCTTCTCCCCTATGTCATTTGGTTGCAATGTAAGAAAATTGAATAGTAGAAGTCCACCATTGAAGGCCAATCAAAGCTTTGCTTTCGAAAGTAGGATTTTTTGAGTTTGTTAGTTGTTTGGATTGTGTGTTGTTCCAATTGATTGAAAATATCAAAAGGAGTTCAAAATTTAAATTTGAAGTGATTTGGAGTAGATTTGAGCAAGATTTGAGTTAAACTTTAGAAAAGACGCAAGGAAGAAGACGAAGCCAGTTTTTTGTATAATTATGTATAATATTTGAAAACAATTTACATTTACGTAATGAGACAATGCACAAAATATATGTAACTCATTTTACACCATAAGTTCAAAAGTATTCTTTTTTTTTCTTTAAATCTCGTACCCCAATCAAATACGTTCTCATTAATTAAAACGGAATGAGTATTAGATAATGTAGTACTAGCTCTGTTTACGTGTCTATTATATTAAAAATATATTTTTACTTTTACTTATTCATTTTAACAAATTAAGATAAAGTAAATTTTTTATTCTAATTTTACCTTATTATTAACAACTCATTTGTCACATTATTTCCTAATATTTTTTTTTTGAAAGGGTTGAGAAATCAAAAGTAGACAATTAAAACGAAATAAGCATATTATAGGGATTGACTTCATAACGAAGGAATATATCACCGCTCATCTTGCACCAACCAATCTAATCTCTGTCCTTCCCTTAACAGAGCGACATCATCTCTCCTGCTGTATTATTGAGCAGTTGGACTGTTGGGAGTGATCAGGAGAGAATATTACTGTATGTACGTATACGCGTGTTACGTGTGTCTCTCTTATATGCAGCAGCGAAGCCACATGCTTGTAAGGATGGTCAAAAAATTGTACTGTGTACATAGGTAAAATATTACGTTTTAGAGGTATATAACACATATTGAACACCCTTTGTCGTAAATTTTTTTTACTTTTTTTAAATTTGAACACCCTTAAAGAAATTCCTAGCTTCGCCAATGCTTATATAGCTTGTTGAGTTTGAGTCCACATGTTCACAAAATGCAATACTGGTTAACACGAAGGCCCATATGCACATAACACTTGGCTTACCTTCCATCTCTCCTTTGTCTTTCTTCTCCTCCTTTAATATTACTGGGGCACTACTCACTTTTTTTGAAACCACATACACAAATCCTCCACATATTCAAACGCCGCTGATTGTTCACTTTAAAAGTACACTTCACAAATCACTCTAAATTCTCTTAGTTTACGTAGCTTGCTTTGCTATCTCACCTTCCTCATTCCTTCTCAACCTTTCCCACTCGAAACTATTACGTTGTCGATCAATCTCCACCCTTTTTCAAGCTCCAAACATTACAAATTTTGTGTACAAATTAAAATGAAAGAAGTTGTGTACTCTAAACTCTGTGAGCTTTGCAATGACCAAGCCGCTCTATTTTGTACCTCTGATTCTGCCTTTCTCTGTTTCAACTGTGATGCCAAGGTTCATCAGGCTAATTTCCTTGTTGCTCGCCATCTTCGTTTTACTCTTTGCTCCCACTGCAACTCCCTAACAAAAAATCGTTTCTCCCCATGTTCTCATAGTCTTAACTCCTCTGCTCTTTGTTCCTCCTGCTCCCCCCGCAATTTCTCTGCTCATGACTCCGATCTCCATTCTCTTTCCTCCTCCTCCTCGTCTACTTGTGTTTCCAGCACGCATTCCTGCGCTACTACTCAAAAGCAAATAAGCTCCTCCGATCAAAAGTTGCTGGATTCCTCGAACTCTGCAAACAGTTATTCCGGCGAAGTTATAAATTCTGCTATCGCGTGCCCTAAATATGAAGCGCGATCCAGAAATGTGAAATTGAGAGATCCGATGGCGGCGACTGGCGTGTTCATGCATTGGTGCACGAAGCTTGGAATGTGCGGTGAGGAAGGTGCAGTAGTACTGCAGACGGCATGTGGTGCATTGGGCATTTGTTTGGGTCGATTTAGGGCTTTGCCTTTGCGGGTAGGCCTGGTGGCGTCTTTGTGGTTTGGTCTGAAAAGTAGTGGCGACAGATCGAAATCCACGCGGCGGTATTTGAAGAGACTGGAGGAGATCTCGGGTGTGCCAGCGAAGCTAATATTAGCCTACGAATTGAAGCTGCGACAAATCGTGAAAACCGATAAGCAACGACAACGTCAAGGAATGGAAGAAAGCTGGGGCGAATCATCGGCTTGATTCGATGGTGTTTGGACGAAGATTCTCCACCTCTTTATTTTGTCACTCTTTTTTTTCTTTTTCTTTTGTGGAAACCATTAGAAAATTGGAAATGTTTGAACGTGGCCCTCCATTTTACAGAAGTCTTTACTTTACATTTTGCATTTTGTCACGCTTTCCCACGAGGAAGGAACATTTCAGCCCACCCCACGGCCCACCCCGCACCCCAAACATGAAAAAGAAAAAACAGAAAAAACGTGTTGATAAATTTTATATTGTGAATCACAATGGACATTACTTATATGAGATCCTTTAAAATTTATAATCTAAGTAGAATACTGAGTCCCACTATTAGTTTTGCAAAATTTTACCAATCAACATTACTAATGTGAGATCCCTTCACTAAAGCGATTTTTGGTTAAAAAAAGTTCTACAAAATTAAAAATTGAGACCCGTGTTTTACCTGTATAAATTTTAAAAGGGTCTCACAAGTATAATGTTTACTGTGTGATTCACAAAATAAAATATCTCACTTTAGGTGTGTTCTTGGGTAGGTATAGTACGATATTTAAATATTTCGGTTCGTTATTTTCGGTATTCGGTTTCTTAAAATGCTATACCAATATCGTATCTAATTAAATTCGGTATGATTCGATTTTTCTTCTTTCGGTTTCGGTTTGTTCGATTCGGTAACGATTTATTCAGTTTGAATACTAACTAGTGTATAGAGTCCTAGACTATAATATTTTTAATTAAAGTACTAAAAAGTACAAAACTAAGTATGTTTGTACACAAATTTTGTCCAAAACTAGCAAATATCAACAAAGAGAGAGAAAACTGTACATAAAAGGAATAAATTTGATCATTAGAAATGTCTTGTTACTGGTTTAGGGTTAATTGATGAACTTAAAGAATAAAGGAAAGTAAAATTTTAGATTTTTATATCTATGTTATAATTAATAATATGTGTATTGTGTAATATAATATATATTTTGGTACGGTATTGGTATTTCGATATTTAATTTTAAAATACCAAATACCATATCTAATACCAAAATATCGAAAATCAAATACCAAAATTGTCGATTTCGATACAATAATTCGGCATTTATCAAATTATGAACAACCCTATCTCACTTAACGTATTAGAACAAAGGAAAACAATATAATACGAGTATGTCCAACGAAACATCATGCATTTAGGTCAAATGATTTGTTTTGGAGCTAAACTAGAGCTATCAAATGTCGGCAAATGATTAAAAGCACAAAATTCTTTAGAGAAATATCGTTGGTCTTTAAAAATAAATTTCTTATTGTCTGAAAAGTTCCTCATTCTCACCAGAATCATCCAAATGAAGTATTCAAGTAATGAAGTTTTTATAAAAAAAATACAGTAAAGACATTAATACGGCAGATAAGAAGTAGAAATAGTAAAACCATGTCCAAATAGAACGTATTCTCATAGTAACTTAGTATTTAGTATTGAATATATGAGATAATATCTAATGGGCAGGGTATTGAACTTATTACTATTGTCATATGGATAATGGACTAACTATAAAGTATACGAATTTCGGATTTTCTGATATCCAAAAATTCGAAGTACCAAATCCAATATCCGATCCTAAATCCAAAAAAATAAAAAATAAATTCAAAATCCAATCCGTAATCCGAAAAACCAAACCAAAAATCCAAAAAATTCGGATTTCTATTTGAATTTCGGGTTTGCCCAAACTATGCCCATCCCTACTCTCCGGTCCACAATAAGTGACCATTTTACCTTTTTTATTTTGGTCCAAAATAAATGTCAATTTACATAATCAAGAAGGAATTAATTAATTTTATTTTTCCAAAATTTGCGCTTATTTATATATTCCAATGTGTTAAGGTAATAATTAATTAAGGTTAATTTAATAAATATATTTTTTTCTATAAGAGTTTGTATTTCCTTAATAGGTGTGCCAAAAGTAAAATTGTCACTTATTATGAATTAGTATCATACGTTATTTTAAAGTTGTTTCCATATAGCAAGTGACATCCTAGAGGTACTCCAGTTGTATTCACGAGAATAACATAATTTTTTAACAACCATGAGTAATTTTTCCGAACAACAATTTTACTTGCACTTAATATTTACAACAAATTTATTAAATTAAATTATTATAATTATTGTTTGCTCAAAAGTTATTACATATCTTATGAGTGCAAAACAATACAAATAATCACGGGAAAATCATAACAAATCGTATTAATCCGTTGGACCAAATGAAAGAAACGAAAATAAGTACTCAGAATTAGGGGGAGAAACATTCGAAACCTTTATTGATAATATTTGTTTGGTCTGCCTCTCCATGAAGAGGTTCAGAGCCTTACAATGGTGTTTTCTCCTCCCATAATATGGGTATATTTTTCCCTTCTCTCTCCTGTCTATAGTGGTGAAGAAGTAGCCCCCTTTCTAGGGCTTCCACTCTTAGTATTTATAGATGTGAGCTTCGTGAGCTGACAATAAATGATCGTGGCCACGCTGAGGTTCCGTCCCCATGGGGGAGTGAATGGGCCGTGCCCTCGTAGATTAAATCAGACAAGAGTCGAATCCTCTTATGAATTAGTGGCCATACCACTTATTAATTATGGATTAGCTCAAGACGAGATTAACTCCGTTAATTACCGTGAGATCGGATTTTGACCCATACAGTTAGTCCCTCCGCTTATTGAGGTCGTGTTTCGACCGAGCTCGATGAGCGGACTTCATCGATTGTGATTTGAAAAAACTCGAATAAGGGGGTCGACTTATTGACGGCGGTGGCCTTAGCCGTTTTCACGTTGGAGATGGCCGTAGCCTTTTATATATTGGAGAGCCTTTCATACATTAGAGATGGTCGTAGCCTTTCATATAATGGCGATGGTCGTAGCCTTTCATATGTTGGAGAGCCTTTTAGACATTAGAGATGGCCGTAGCCTTTCATATAAAGGGGATGGCCATAGCCTTTCATATATTAGAGACGGTCGTAGCCTTTCATACAATGGCGATGGCCGTAGCCTTTCATATATAGGAGATTGTCGTAGCCTTTCATATATTGGGGATGGCCGTAGCCTTTCATACAATGGCGATGGCCGTGGAGAATGAGTATGCGCCGGGTACGTATTTGGTCACGTCCAGAATTTTGAAGGCGTACGGCGCATACTTTCAGCGTTCGCAGGCCGTTGTGATTATTCTATCGGCGGGACGTTGGCGGATGGCTGAGAAGCCGCTTCGCGGAGCTTGTCATAATGACGCACGCTTCGGCAGGATCGAACCGTTTTACGGTTGGTCGTGCAGTTAATGACGGCTATTGGGTTTCGCGAAAGCCATTTATGTTGCCTATAAAGGTGGGTTGAGGCATTCATTTCTCATATCTTCATTGTTCATCTGAGAGAGATTCTGAGGAAACTTTTTCGTTCTGCTGATTCATCTTCTCCTTTCTTTCCTTTGATTGTGATAACCTTTGTCTTGCCCACCGAATTCTATCCCTTTCTCTTTAGTAGATCAATAATGGCAGGCAGTTCTTCCCACGATGCTCTTCCGATAGATTTTCCGGTAGTTGTAGGGCCACCTCCGGCAATGGGAGGTGACGAACAGATAGAGACCGGAGAAGTTCCGTCGGTTGACGAGGTAGTTCCTCGGCTCGGAGGTCTGGCGATTGACTTCACTGTCGACGGTGGAGAGGACCCGGTGGATGAAGCCCCGTTAATGGGGGAGATTGGGATGGCCCGATTACGGGAACAGGGGGTCATTCCCACCCATGCAGACATCGTTCTCGCTAGAAGCGAGGAGAGGGTCCACACCGACCGCAGGGGATACTGCAGTTTTTTACGCCTATCCTTTCAGGTTGGGGTTCAAGATCCCGCTCCCAATGCTGGTGGTGGATTTCTGCCGTTATTACGGGGTGTGCCCGGGTCAGCTCACTCCTTCCCTCTACAAATTGTTGGCAATGTTCATCAAGTATGCGGAATTGGCCCGTAGGGAGGTCACGCTGCAGCATGTGCTTAGTCTCTACGCTCCCCAGAGAGTCCGTGGCACCATGATTCAGGCGTGCCCTCGTGGGTCGAGGGGCCTGGTCATGAGATTGGATGACGAGGTCGACCCTCGCCCTTTCGAGCACTTCTTTTATATCAGGACCAGGCATCTGGTGGCGGATGCTACCGGGTTCCCAGAGGCTTGGAACCATGCACGTAAGTTCTTTAGTGGTTGAATTCCTTTTTCTTTCCCTCTTTATGATTTGTGATCATGGGCGTTAACTCGTGTCTTTTTTGTAGCTGACAGGTCGCCGCCGGCCCCATTGTCTTGGATACGTGAGTGGGTCGAGGCGTACTCCCTCATACGCGGGGGATACGCATATGGGCGTCTTTCTGGGAGAGGCATGGTCGTAGGCCCGTGGCAGGTAAAAAATTGATTTCTTCTTATGTTCCGCTTTGTTTCGACTCTATTCATCAACCTTGTTTTCTTGTGATTAGGGAGGGCACGCCGCGTCAGGGCCCCTCAGTTGGCCTTCCATCGGCCTGGTGCGGTTGCTCGGCTTACTGCAGCGCCGTTGTCGCGCTCAATACCGAGGGCGGCATCAGTTGAATCTTCAGCGATTTCTTCTTCTTCGCGGACCCGACTTCGGGGCGAGGGGCCATCGGGGGTTGTGCGCCCTAGAGCGGAATCGTCATTAGATGGGGAGGAGGAGAGGCCGTTGATAAGGCGTAGGGTTGCGTTCGCGCTAGCTCCTCCTGTGGTAATCAATTTGGACTCCCCCCCAGCGGACGCAGAGAGGAGTGCGGCTAACTGTCCTTATAGATAGGCGAAAGCCACCTCCTTGACAGATTACGGAGCTACCCAGCTTCTCTTAATGCCAAGTAGTAGAAAAACCGCTTTCCCTCGAGGGTGGACAAACAATGGGGGTTGCCCCGGTTGGCTTAGGCCGTGATGATACCGTCGCTTCGGCGACTCAATTGGTGGTTCCAGTTGCTGAAATGGGAGGTAGTTCCTCAGCGGCTGCTAGTGTGGGTGAGGCCAGCTCCTTCGGCGGCTGCGGCGGGAGGAGATGCTGTAGGGGGTGAGGATGAGTCCGAATCCGACTTGGATCCCGACGACGTCTGTATGTTCCAGGAAGGCTCCACCAATTCAGCGGTG